CGAGCCAAGTCTTCAGTTGCCCTCTTCTTCGACGCCTCCAGGTGGGCTGCGGCGCCGGATCTAAGGCAGCATAGCTAAGCTCTTGAGACGGAGGACGGAGAACGTGCCCAAACCACCTCAGTCACCTTTCTTGAATGACCGGAGATATCCTCGCGATACGATCGCAGCGGGTGCGGACTGTCTCATTCGAGATGAAGTCGGTATACTTAATCCGCAGGATGGTCCTCAGGCATCGGTGGTCAAATAGCTCCAGTCTTCGCTCATCTTGAGCGCAAAGCCCAGCATTCACATTCACAAAAGAGGACTGACCGGATGAATGTAGGGTATGCAGGAATCTTCGTGGCAATGAAGATGTCGCGTCGGGTCTATAGGCGCTTTTGAAGGATCGAGAAAACCCAGCGAGCAGCATCGATGCGGCAGACAATATTGTCCTTGCTTTACCCATTCGGTAGTAGCTTCGCCCCGAGGTATTTAAAGCTGCCTACTCCTTCAAGTTGATGGCCATTAATCCCTAGGGTGCCTTCTCCTGGTTATGGGTGCAGCTCGAGAATAACTTTGTGTTTCCAGAATTTATGGGCATGCCAACCGACAGAGCGATCTCACACACCCTCGAAATTACAGACTGTAGATCATCAAAGCTTGAGGTTAGCAGCGCAATATCATCGGTGTATTCGAGATCAGTCATGCAATTGTATGCCATAAAATTCTGCCTGTTACGTCGTATTGGCATCGTTGAGCAGTCACACTTTAAATGTTGCCGTCGCCTAGCGACTTGGGGGAGCATTAGGGGATAAAAGAAAGACGACACCGGTAATGACGTGGTCGCGGCTGTTACCAGGAAGGCCTTCGGAATAGTTGCTTTTATTTTGCTAGTAAACGTGCCTGATGAAATCTAGAAATACGTATGGGCCTGGTCAGGTTTAGAAATAAATTTTAGGTACTCAACTTTTAAATATCCGCAGGAATTAATTCACAACTGGGAGGAGATCGGCGCATTCAAGGGTCTATAGGTGTAGACCAAGATTTGATATGAATATATATGTGGACCGAAATTCATCAGCCGCGTAATATTCCCGACCTTCCGCCACGCAGTCAGTAGTATAAGCTGCGAAATTATTGACCATAACGGCAGCGCACGTACTACTAGCTCTGCCCACAGACGTAGGAGTTTACATTTATGTGAAATTCCAGTACCACAGCGTTTTTAAAAGTACATTCTCTCTTAGACGATCACCACTAATACAATAAAAAACAAGGAGTCCTTTCATAAAAAGTTCTAGATGATGCATTAAAAGGGTGAACCTGTAAAATTAAAGCGTCCCCGGGCAACTGGACTGTTTCAATACACTTCCGCTGCTATCGACGTCAGCGGACAAGTCATGACGCAGTAAACATATCCGATAGTTTACTACTCAGAACATGTGTTCACTCCTACGCATGGTTGTGTTCTGCGCTGCGAAAAAGGTTCAATTAAAATGGTCTCCGGTGGATCCTGAGTAAGAAAACAGCGACCAGAAACAACGGAATGAAAGTCAGCTAAGAAGGGTACTACTGGATAAATTTCATCAATGTTTCCTTTAACTCAATTTCTGAAGGACAAACAGTTTTTGGCAAAATGCCGAGCACAGAGTTCTTAGGTAAACTGACCGCAGGCCCCGATTTGGAAGCTCAGTTGTTTCAGGATTTCAGGTAGGCCGATGAAAAGTGGCTCAGTTGTTATCTGCATACAACACATACAGAGCACACCACAATAAGCACGACCTTTAGGAATTATTCTCGTGATCCACAACATGACCCACGACCAAGCGTCTTAGTTCCTGGCAGGAGAAAGGGCGCTCCAAGATTTCATGCCCTTGTGCAAACTGTAAAAGAGGTGCTTTCAGATTCCAAGGCTGCCATAGGCGGCAACACTTGGTAACAATAAGTTTCCCAGACTACGGTTTTTCTCATAGATCGAAAGACTTTATGTTTCAAGTGCTGTCTACAAAGTGCAGTCAGTGACCGATCGCATAAAAGGTTAGCTGAAATGCGTTTTTGAAGTTGTAATAGAGAACATCGTGCGGCAAAATCCCACGGTATTTCGGATACGGCAGGACGCTGGTACAGAAATGCACGTAGTTTCGACCGCCTGCAATAAAAGCATTCGATATAAAATGACTGCCTAAAGGGTATGCCCTTTATCGATTGATTTCAATGCCCTACAAATGCAACTATCCTTTTGTACTGATTGGGTAGCAAATCACGTCTTCTTCTAACATTATGCCCATAGAAATGCCTTCCTAGGGTTTTAAAACAGTGCAATGCTCGTTCAAATAATGTCGCATATTTCCGTTTTCTAAACCTCCTTATAAGGCATACAAGACAGTCCACATGAATGGCACACATTTATGAGCATTATAAGGCATTTTCTTAACAGCGCACAGAGGAGGGTATGCTATTCCCTACAAGGAAAGAATACAGATTGTAGACTGAAAACCCTAAATACAGATGCAACGCCAGATGGGGCTCAACATTATTCCGGAATTGTAAAGCCTTTTAAAAGCTACATACACCTTTCCTTGAGTAAAAAATATGGAAGAAGACGCGATTTACTACGGGATTAATACAAGAAAGAATATAATTGTTTATACCTTATATAGAATATATTTATGTTCGTAAGTATAATGTAAATCAAGGTAAAAACAATGCATACTAAATAAGTAGTCAGTTTCATTGACAACCGTGCTTGCTGGCGTCCGATATCCCAGCGTATTCGAAATATCATGGGATTGTGCCGCATGAATATCGATATGAGGTAATCTTTCCTTGCTCGAAAACGCATCGCAGAATTTCGGTTAAAATTTCATAAGATCGATTACTCACTACAATTCCACGCGATGATCGGCTTTAGGGAAAATTTGTGAATACACTTGGACCTATGGTAAGCAAACGGTTTTAGCAAGCTAATATCTGGATTATATTCAAAGGGCCCCTATGGATGATCGCACCCGTCTGTATTCCACAGACTTGCTCCTATTTAATCCTTTGTATGCAAGTATGAACGTTAACTAATGCTAGTTTACTTGGTTGGCAGTAATGAATCTTATTTAATCTTTTCTGCCGAAGGATCACAGTCAACGAGCAACAAAATTTGCGAATAACTGATTATATGCGGTAAAGAATGCAAATTCGATCACCGGAGAAGAAGCAAGAGAATGAAGAAAACGCATAATCGATCGAGTACATGTACAGTGTGACTGGGAATTCCTGGAGATATCATGACGAAATGTAACTTTGTATTTGAGCATATATTTGGTCACGTTATTTTGATTCGCTGAGCGGATTTAATCCTGAGAAAGAATAGCCGTAAGAAAAACAGTCTGTTTAGTTCAGTATATTGAGGGTAATATGCATTAATTTTGCGGAAATCAATGGTAGCCCGATATTGAAGAAATTTAATTTGTTACTAAGTACGACAGAACTAGAACTTCCATGTTGTGCTGTGGAAGAAAACCAATATAAGCTTAAAAATCTAAAATATATCCCTTCCCGAACCGGGAAATTTAGTCTGAAGTGAAGAAAATGCAAGTGAAGCAAAGTTTGAGGAATCGAATATATTTTCAGAAACAAGGAACAATTACAGGTTTACAAATTATTTTTTGCCAATGTGTAGTAAAATGCGGTAAAAACGTTTTGAACGCATTCGTGTTACCGTATTTGGGACTAACCAAAATTAACTACATATAATCACGAAGATGAACAAAGAACAAATGCGATTAAATCTAAAGCTTTCACTCTTGTACACTTTAATTTCCGTTTATGTGTCATTTAGAAACGGAGAGAGAGGAATAGGAATTATATCAAAATCTTAGTATATATAGTAGTCACCGGCTATTAGACCCATGGTTAATAATATCGCCGCTTATTAAGCCCAATTTGGTCTGGGCCCGAGGTGGGCTTAATAGCCAGCGACTACTGTATTCGGCCACTCTTTTTTGCATCTGCAAACTTGGAATGGAGCTTGAAAAAAATCAACTATGGCGAAGAATACTCTAATATACGGGGGAAAGTGAATTTTTTATTTACAGCCAACACTGTTTTAGTTAATTGAAGATAAATTCAAAAAAATTTCAAAATTCTTCAGTTTCATTTTGGCAGTTCCCTCGACGAAGATAACAGGCACAGGCATTCCTTAGCTTAATATCTAATTAAAGAGCTTTTTAAAGGGGTAACGTATTATAGAAAGTTTTTTTACTGATCTTAGGAACAACAATATCAGACCTCTGCTGCGGACGATGTGTTTTTTGTTTGAAAAAATTCCTAAATATGGCTCACGCGGTCATCCTAATAAGCACTGATATATAAAAACGCGTTTTAAGGGTTTTGATATGAACACTGAACAGAATATACGTTTATGAAATAAAGCTTGAAAAACCAGAAAATCGTCGGAAATCTACCGGAATCTAAAGGTCAATCTGTAATTAATTGAAAGCAAATAACGGCAATGTGCTTAAAATATTTTGACTAAGGGAAAGTTTTTGCCTTGGACGTTTTTACACCGTTTTTTGTTACCCACAGCGTTTAAATAAGGAAAAGTTCTTTTGATATAACAAAATAGTAAAGTTATCTACTTAACTTACTATAAGATTTAAATTTCTTGTTCTAATTTAAAGCCATTTTTTACGTCTGAGGAACATGAGGGTTATTAAGAAGATTTCATTTTTATTAACAGACAATTAGCACTTCTTATATTTCTTTTAAGTAACAAATTTACCTAAAGATATTCATTATTATTTCTAATTTTTCGTACATGCCCTAATGCCGGTTTGTGAGTGACTATCAATCTTCGCAAACTTCGGCACTTTTAAAGACTTCTCCGCCGTACTGTGAGACACACGAGTGGATCGCAAGACCGAGGAAAAACAAGAATACGGGGACAGTAACGAAAGGAATTTATTCGTCTGCAGAGGTACGGTCTACGATCCACGCATCAAATGACAAGGCGCGGCTGCTTAGCTCGGACAGAACAACACACCTCGTGAAGAAACCGTAAATTCTAAAGCATTGGACTGAACACCTTCAGTTTAAACAAAAGGTAAAATAAGATCACGCTTATATAGGAAAGAAGAGATTTAGTTCGGCTTACCCTTATCGAGGGCGATGCGGAAGGCTTCAACCACTTCATGGCTTCCTGGAACGCGGAAAATACCTTCGAAATTCAAACCACCTCGACGTTCCAGTTCTGTGATGCACTTTTCCAAAACCAAAGGAACAGTCCTGAAAGTAAAGAAAAAGCCCCTTCATAAAGTGACTCGCTACATGCGATTTTCAACAGACTAACAATTTGCAAGATACCAAGGAGACCGCACAAGTCGGAGATCTACGTGTTCAGCGCAGGCTTAAATAAGTAAAAAGTGCTGTGGGGATCCAGAGGGTTTAATGCTCAACATGCTTGACAGACGTTAGGCCACATGGGGTTCCCAGCAGTAGGCGTTGTTGGTAAGGAGGACTTGTGTGGCCGCCTAAACATGGCACGGGAATAAGAGGGCCGCGATAAACTTCAGGAAGGGTAAATATTCTCACGTCTTGAGCCAAACACTAGCACTGACGTAAAACTGGACTGTAACCTTAATGTTAACCCAAACTTAAACCCTAACTCTTAATGTAATCCTGACCTTAAAGATTTCCGCACGTTACAAATAATCCAAATAATTTTGATGATTTCCTAACACAGATTTTTTAACCAATCGCTTACTTTTTGCCTAAGCTAAGCTGTGGATTGTGGAAAGGCATTGCGCTCCCTCTTCACCAATCGGCCTGACCGCAAAGCGTCAAAAACATCGTAAGAGGGGAGGGTGAAGTAGGGTAAGGTCATCGTGGTACGGTTTAGCATTAAAGGGCGGGGAAAAAGCCTTTCCCCAGTATAACGCTGCGGTTGATGTCAAATCCAAACTGACGGGTTTGCCCTTTAGACAACAAAATATCTT